GCAATTGAAATTCTAATAATTAAAACCACTCATATAAATGATAATTAATGATGTGGTTGTGCAATTAGATATCAATAACGGATATCATTCCGTTCTTACAGGTTTTACTGAAAATACATCTATCGTTGCAGCATTTTAAAGAACATGCTTAAGGATCACCCTCATTTGTAATCATTCTAAAATTACAACTCATTCTTCTTCAAATCTGATAATGTATGGTAAAACATTTACATCTGTTACATTTATAAACTAAATAATAAACTTCTGAAAAATCTATACTCTTTCATATCCAAAAATTAAATTATCTGTTAAACAGATAGTAATCTATTTTTCCCACCCCAAATACAAGTAAAAAAATAATGTTGTTACACTTGGAAACCTACAATAATCATTGTAAATTACCTTTAAAAACCTTTCCTACTAAAGTCACCATTCAATGATTAAAAAAAAAAAGTCTGCCTTACAAAGTGATTGTTTATAAATTTGACTAAACATATAGTTTTGATTTATTAAGGATGCTAACATCTTAAAATGGAAATAAATGGAAGCAATATTTCATAAATCTTGTTGTTTGGTAATTCCATGTCCTGTACTTGATTTATTTTCTCTGTATCCTAAATGTATCTGAAAAGACTGCATAAATCGTTAAGGATGGCTTCACATGAAGGAGCCCTAAAATTAAAACAAAAGGTTACTTTATCTTGTTGTCTTAGGCAATTACTAAAATAATCTTTCAATAGGCTTATAATTAAAATCTAAGCTATAAAATATTTGTACTCTTATTACTCTACTTCATAACAATAGTTTGAATCAATTTTATTAAGCTTAATCTTTCAGGGAAATGATAAATAAAAAATATATATTTAGCTATTATTGAGAACAAAACCTTATTTTATAAGGCAACTGATCCTATTATATAATTATTCAATTGGAAAAAATTGAACATAAAAACCGCTATTCTGAATATAGACAAACTTTATAACATATCTCACAAAAGAGTGTAATCCTGAGTAAATCATAGATAAAAAAAATTTTAATAACTAGTCAAGGAAATCCATGGATATCTTCTTTGAATTAAAATCTAGATTAATTTTTCATGTTTTCTTCCCTAATACTTCCCTCAGATAAAAAAAAAGAAGAAGAAAAGAAGCTATAGACAATTTCCCTCAGTAGAAAAATGTATATTCAAGGGATATCCATATTTCACTCTATTTAATTTACTGACAATTATTGCTCAACACAAAAGCATCATATGTTAGAAGCCAGGAAATATATCTTCATACAAACTATAATCAGACTCTTTGCTTTAGTCCTAAATAGGGTAGTAAGGACAAGATTTTTCTACCTGTTTAGAAAAAAAATCAAAACACAGACAAAATATTTGAAAGGACAGTTTCTAAAACATGCACTTCCAAAACACTAGACAACAAAGAATTCTGACAACTGAGGAATGGAAATCCATCAAAAAAAAAACTCTACAATTTCCCAATTTACTGTCTTGAGAGACTTTTGAATAGCAAGTACAGAGAAGCTGAGGCTTGGACCATGAAACATCATGAATTGCAAAAATCAAAGAGAATCTCAGCAAGCCAACACAGAACAGGTCACCAAAGAAGAGAGAGCTGCTAAGAAAGAGGATCCCAGACATCTTGAGGGTTTTGTCAAGCACTCAGCTAATGAACAGTAAGCACACATGTGAGGAAATATATGAGAGCAGAAAGAAAAATGACTTTTTATGAAAAAAAATGAGTATAAAAGGCATATACTCTAACACAATGAAAGCCTTATAGTACAAACCCACAATCAACCTCATACTCAGTGATAAAAAAACTAAAAGCTTTTCTCTATGATGAATAACAAAACAAGGATGTCCACTCAACTGCTATTATTCAACATAGTATTAGAGGTCCTAGCCAGAACAATTGGATAAGAACAGGAAATAAAAGGTATTGAGATTAGAAAGGGAGAAATAAAACTCCTTTGCAGATGACATGATCATATACACAAAGGACACCAAAGACTCCAATCAAACACTATTAGAAAAAAATAAATGAATACAAAGGAGTGGCAAGTCACAAAATCAATATAGAAAACTCTGTTGCATTTTTATGTACAAATAAATAATGAGCAGAAAAAGAAACCAGGCAAAACATCTATTTGCGTACAGACTCATCAAATAGAATTCAGTACCTGGAATAAATTATAAAGGTTAATAAAAACTAAACACTGAAAACTAGAGGGTATTGTTGGGAAAAAAATAGAAGACACAAAGAAACAGAATGGCATTCCATGATCATAAATTGGAAGAGTTAACATTGTGAGAATGGTTATATTAGTAAAGCAATACACAGATTCAATGCAATCCCTACATAAATCCCTGTAGCATTCTCCACAGAAGTATAACAAAATGTAATAAACTACAAAACACTGAAAAACCAAAACAATTCTGAAGAACAAAAACAGAGGTATCACTCTTCCAAATGTCAAACTATTGATACTTTAAACAATATTAACCAAAAAAGCCTCATATTGGAATAAAAACATACAGATCAATGGAACAGAAAGGAAAATTAAAAAATAAAGCCATATATTTATGGACAACTAATTTATGACAAGGAACCAAGAGCATACAATGAAGCAAGTAAAATCTCATCAATATATGGTATTGGGAAAACTGGATCAACACACACAGAAAAATGAAATTAATCTACTCTGTGATATCTTATACAAAAACTAATTCACACTGGATAAAGACTTGAATGTAAGACCTGAAATTATAAGTGCACATTAAAACACACACACATAGGTGATATGCCCCTTGACCTCACACTTAGGTGATATGCCCCTTGACCTCAGCCTTAGAGATATCTTTGGAGATTCAACTTCAAGGGCAAGGGAAATGAAATGGAAACAAGCAGACAGGACTATATCAAATTAAAATGCTTCTACAAGGCAAAAGACACTCTCACCAAAACAAAAAATCACTCTACAGAATGTCTGAAGATAGTTATAAATCATAGATCTGAGTTGGGCTAATATCCAAAATATATTTTTTAAAAACTCATATAACTCAATAACCAAAAAATCCATTAAATAAAATGGGCAGAAGATCTGAGTAGACACTTTTCCAATGAAGACATACAGATGGCTAGTAGACAAATGAAAAGATGTTCATCATCATTTATTATTAAGAAAATGCTGATGAAAACAATGAGCTTATACCAGGGAGAATGGCTTTTCTCCAAACATTAGAAACAACAAGTGCTTGAGAGGATGAGAAGAGAGAACTATGGTACATGTTGGAGGAAATGTAAAATGTGATGCAGCCATTATAAAAAACAGTATGGAAATTACTCAAAAAACTTAAAAGTAGAAATGCTATCTGATCCAGTTAACCTACTGCGGGATATTTACCTAAAAATACAAAAACACTAATTCAAAGAGATATGCTCTCCCCAATCATCACATCAATATTCATAATCTCTAAGAGGCAGGAACAACCAATCAACAGATGCATGGATAAAGAAGACGTGGGGTGTGTGTAAAGTACAACTCAGGTACAAAAAAAAAACCTTCCATCTGCAGCAATATACATGAACTCAAAGGTGTTATGCTTAGTGTAATATGTCAAATGAGAAAAACAAATATCGTATGATTTCGCTCATGTGGTAGATGAAAGAAAAAAAAGAATGCACAAAAACAGAACAAAAAAATAAATGGTTGGACTATGAAAACAAAATAGTGATTACCAGGAGGCAAGGGGTTTGGTAGAGGAGGGGCAAGGAGACAGGTGACTAAACAAATTGCTGAAAGACAGAAACAAGATTGGTGATAAGCACAATAAACTAAATTATAAAGCTTTGTACCTAAAAGCTATAAATATTTTAAACCAATGCTACTTTAAACATACCTAACTCAATAAAAAACTACTATTTTAAAAGCTATACAAGAAAGAAAAATAAATTATTAATTTCAATAAGTGAAGAAAAAACATTTGACAAAATCCAACACTTATTCCTGATGGGGAAAAAAATTTTCTATCAAATTAGGAATACACGGCATTGATGAAAAGTAAATACTTTATTTTTAATAAATTGATGAAAAGTTACTACTGAGCTCAATACTTCAAACACTGAAAACTTAATGCTTTTTCCCTCAGATACTACCATTTTTATTCATAATTGTACTAGAATTTCTAGTTAATGCAACTACTCAGGGAAGAGAAAGATAAAGCCAGGGGAAAAGATTAGGATATGTAAAGAAAAGTTATTAGTCTTGACAGAGAAAACAATGAGAAACAGAGAACAATGAGAAAATGTAGAAATAAAAATTATACAAGATAACATATTCTTATAAGTTACATTTTAATAATGTATGTAAAAACATCAGCTTCCTGTGTTAAAACTTCCTAAGAACTGAGTGATAAGATCCTAATGAAGAAATAAATGCAAATTCGAAAGAAATTATAGAGATAAACATTTAAAATACTAATTTTCAAAGCTTTCTTTTGGGGCGGGTGGTATTAATATTTACCCAAAAGTAGATGGACAATATATGAAAATCTAGTGGATAAAGCAGCAGGAACCAATAAAAAAACGAGCAAATCTACGAAGTTCATAAAATCATGTAGTAATGAAAAAGCTGTCACCAGTCTTACACTAATCAGTTGTGTGGTTTTAAAAATGAACTTTGGTGTCTCTGAATCTCAGTTTTCTGTACCTACAAATTCAAGGAATGAGGCCAACTGATCTCTAAATTCTCTTCGCCATCTTCGAAAGTCTAAAGATCTGTGATTTTAACAAAATCATATGCTGAAGACTTAAACAATAAATATCTTTTTTAATTCAAACAAAAATTCCAACATTTCATTTATCTAAAATGAAGTCATTAGGGAAGGTTTCTGTTCATTGGTTAATCTGAATATTAGTCCAGTTGCCCATTTTTTTTCCACAATAAGCTTAGCTGTAAAAGAAGGACTGAGCATAATTTTCATTCTGTACCTTGTTTGAGCGTAGTGAAACTCGACCTCCACAACGAGCACAGAACTTTGTTTGGCAATATGAACAGTTATGGCCACACCCATCAGCAAACTTTGTTTTGTGGCAGATCCCACAGGTGGGGGCATCACCCTTCTGTTCCTGCTGCTGCTGCGATTCTTCTCCCATCTTCTTTACCTGCTCCTTATACATTTCAAACTGTTGATGAAGTTTCCTAGAGAGAAAACATAAGAAAAAAAATGGATTCCAGATGGAAGCAAAAAGTACATATAATAGCAAGCGAGATTTAGACACAATTTTATATCCAAAAACTGTCCAAAAGGTCATACTAAAAGCATAAAAATCTAATTTTCCAATTAAGAAATAACATCTTGTAATGCACATCACATAGTAAAAGTGTTGCAACTAATCTCCCTTCTGAACATGTTGTCTTAAAAACCAATTAACTCATTTATGGAGATATTTTTGAATTATAACCGTAAATTTCCTACCTACTACTTGCAACATGTCATCCACTCATACACTCTAAAATACTAATGTTATTTTTCAACAGCAATTTCAGATATAGAGGGGCCTAGTATGAGTTACACAGTAAACCAGGACTTACAAACAAAATCATGTGCTGAAGACATAAACAATAAAGGCACTGACAAAGAATCTCAACTGGAGGGATTGTAAGAATCCAAAAAGGGAAAAGCCACTGGCTGAGTGTCTCACTAACTGTTCATATCTGTTCAACAGTCTGAATACTAGTTGGCTGTGAAAGCACTATGAAACATTAAAAATCTACCCAAAAAGGCTGTACAAATAAAGCAAAAGCAAATTCCACTTTAAAGAGAAAATAAAAGGATAATAAAAAGGTAACTAGATAAGGGTGTTATTTACTCTACTTAAAAACAGTGATAGAACTTTTACTTCTATTGTTTCTACAAGGAAAATTAGTTTTAAAACTATAATTAGTTCTGCTTATGATTACAAAGCTGTAAGTAATGTCACTATCCTAAAAATGACAAAAGGCTAAATAATTTACAGAACCATAACCTTTCATGAGCCCATAATAGAAGTGAAATTAAGGCAAACAATCTGAATGCCAAAAAAAAACAAGTAGCTACTCCAAAGAGAAACAGCCATGCTGTTTGAACTTTGGCAGCATACGGATAAAGAAATAGCCATCATACCAGCAGCTAAAAGGAATTAGTTAAAATTTTAAGTCTGGACCCTCCCTGGTGGTGCAGCAGGTAAAAGCACAGCACTAAGAAGCTAAAGCCACTTCAGCATGAGTTCGACCCCCACCCAAGAGGTGATCCACATGGCGTAGCAGACCTCTCCTGACCCACCCACAGCTCCCCTCACCAGTGTACTTTGTCAGTCTGCCTGTTCTACTCCCCACTCTGTCTCTGGTGAATCCTGTCACTGTCCCTGTATCTCTGGCCTGTACCCCAGTTCTGTATGCACAAATAAATAAATCTTAAAAAAATAAAATTTTGGGCCCTCCCCAGTGACACAGCAGATTAAAGCACAGCACAAAGAAGCTAAAGCCACGTTAGCGTGAGTTCAATCCCACTCCAGATGTGACCCACATGGCACAGCAGACTTCTTCTGGCCCACCCGCTGCTCCCCTCAGCAGTGTGCTTCATCTGTCAGCCTGTTCTGCTCGCCACTCTGTCTCTGGTGAATCCTCTCACCGCCCCTGCATCTCTGGCCTGTACCCCAGCTCTGTATGCATCAATAAATAAATCTCTAAAATAAATAAATAAATGTTTAAGTCTGTAAAAGGCCAAGTATAACGAAACATGACAGCCTGAAATAGCTAGGGGTACAGAATCAAGCACTTTTTCACAGGCCTCCGCTGGGTACTGATGAGCAGGACTGGGAGCAGAGCACAAAAACGAAGAGGGTGCACATATGCAGATGTAAAAGATGTAACAGGTATAGTTACTGGATCCTAGGCACACTCTCCAGATCTTCTCTCCTAAAAGGGCAACAACTATATATAAGCCCCAGGGAAAGGAAGTTACTGTCAGCCACAGGACAAAGGCAAAGACCCACGACAGTACTGAAAAGGTTGAAAACTAAAAATCTTCTCCCATGAGAGAAACATAGGAAACCATTTTCAACCCAGTCTCCTGCCCACCAACCAAAGGTCTTTTAGAACCCGGGTAGGAAGAGATAAAACCTGCCCAGACCAACCGGGGATATGCTAAGGAACGCACACTAAGCAAACCTCTTCTGTAGCCCAGGTTGACAGGCTTGTCAAAGATGGAGGGTAGAGAAACATGACCAAGCACACCTGCTCCTACCACAAGCCTGGAATTAAGAAAAAAAGTACCAATTCTCTATTACTGAGGAATTGGCAGAAGCATGGAGAGAAACCCCATTCCATGACACAAGTGGGTGGGAATATTATAGACTTCTATCATGAAACTATAACACAGATAAAAGAATCAACAGAAATCTAAATAATGTGAAAATATACTCTTCACCAATGAGATGACAATATTGTTAAAGCAATATAGTGGTTCAATGTGATTACAATAAAAAAAAATCTCAGTATGAAAATTCCTACATTAGGCAAAACACTTTGAAGAAGGTAAAGAACCTGAAGGCATCATAGGACCCAAGTTTAAGACTTAGTATAAAAGCTACAGAAATAATCAAATCAATTTAGAATTAGCAAAAGGATGAACATATATACCAATGGAACAGAAATGAGTCCAGAAAAGTCCAAATATTTACATGGCTATTATTTTTTTTGAAGGTGCCAAGGTAACTCAATGGAGAAATTCAGTAGAAGTAGTAATTGGAAATCCATGTGTTAAAAAAAAAAAAAAGAACCTCAACTCACATACTATACCTTACACAAAAACTAAACCAATGGATTAAAACTATAGGACCCCTAGTAGAAAATATTTTGAAGAAAATTATGACCTTGGGTCAAACAAAGACTTCTTAGATAGGCTAGGTAAGTAGTTCTTCAGTAGAACATATCTATTTAATCACAAAACCACTGATGTTTCTTCACACCTAGTATTATTAAATTCAAATAGCAATGCCAATTTTATTAACTGTAACTTCAAGTAATACACTGCTTTTTCCTGAGTTTCCCAATGGGTTTAAGGATAGGTCAGCAAACACAATTCAGGGGATTCAAACCTATAAAGCATGAACCAGATCAGCATGGTTTTAAGTGGACGATTAAATAAACTCTGTATCAGAGCTTTTCCCATCATTTAGAAGTATTATTATTCCTTATTTGAGATATATTATACATTGTACTAGCTACACACTGATATGCGTACTATCTCTGGGATAGTTCTCAATATATAGCTAAAAGAAGAGGAAAGTTAGAAAGGACAATACATTTTTCCAGTTTAGACACCTGGAGTACTAGGTAAATTACCAAGACACAGTGGAACAGAAATCTAGTTCAAGCAACTGCGCTGTAACACAGTGCTTCAAGGTAAGTATAAGCCCCATTTCACTCCTGGGGAAAGGACTAGTCACATTACCAGCAAGTTGCTAATTATCTGTCCCGAAGTGTTATATTAGAGCTATTAAATACTCTTACAAAAAGACTGTAAAATCCCAGAGACTGCCATTATTAAGATGACAGGAAATAATCAACCAGCCCTTGTTGTAGGGAGAAAAAAGAAACTGCAATTCAGATAGTTTGAGGTAATAAGAGAAGACATTTTTTAGCAAGATCCTGTGTACTCATCCTTCAAGTCCTATAAAATGAGAACCTACCATAAGCGGAAGTGATAGTGTAAAACTAAACTTAAGTTTTGTTTCTTACAGGAAAAACATTTTTTCTTGCCATGTTTATAGATAAGTAAAATTCTATCTCTGCTTCCTCACCCCAGTCATTCTTTAGCTAGTCTAATCACACTTCTAGTTCACGATTCTCACAGTTTAGGAATGTCTACCACAGCCTAAAGTGAGTGGACAAATTTTCCTGTCTTTATCTTCCTAAGTTCTCAATATTTGCAGTTATACTAAATTGTACTCACTGCCTGCCTTGACCTTCATAACACTCCTCTGGTTTTCTTTCTATGGACTTTCATTTACTTTCTCCTTTGAAGGTCAAGACTTGGGATTTCTTTTCATCCTACAGTGACTTCTTAGGCAGTCTTCCCTAGACATAAGGCTTTAATTTCCACCTATATATAAATTATAAATGTATATCCCCAGCTTAGGCATCTCCTCTGGGCTAATATTCAACTGCCTACTTGGCATCTCTATTGAAAGCCTCCATGCCACCTGAAATTCAATATGTGCGCAACCATCATTTTCCCACCCAAGTCAGATTTCCTTCCCAGTATTCCCTATTTCAACAATGATGCCACAATTCATTATACAGGCTTAAAATCTATAATTATTCTGCAAGTGTCTCTCTGTCTTAAAAGTATTTATCTTATCATTAAACTTTTGCAATTTTACCTTCTACATGTGCCCTGTGTCCTTCCACTTGTATTCATGTCTACTGTCAATAACATCAGCTTTGTGACCATCAATGCCCAACTAGCTTCCTAGAAAGGCTACGGACATCCGTACTTCTCCTGCACAATCTATTCTGTAAACTACAAGAAAACTACCTTTCCCAACAAATTGTCATATCATTGTTTTAAATACTCTAATGGTCCCTGATAACTTGTAAAAAGAAAATGACTTTCTTATAAAGACTTACAAAGCTCTGAATATTCTGTTGCATTCACCATTTCTCCTGCATTGTCTACTTTCCCCTCTTTCTGCTAATGCTCATCTGGCTTCCTTTTGTTCTTTTGACTAAACTATGGTGTATGTCACTACTAGATCTTTGTATTTTATGCATATTCTTGTCTTCACCTATATTAAATTTCAATGCACCACTTTTCTTCAATTTTTTTAAACCTTGGTTTCCCAAACAGAATTGATCATAAGCTTGGCAGCATTCATGATGCCTTGGCTCCTGTTTCAATCATTTCCCCCTCCTCAATGTGATTTCCCTTGCCTCAAGTAAGCAATTTTCTCTGTTCAAATAGTAGTGTTGTGTCATATACTTATTTATACTTATTGTATTTGTCACTCAACTTCACTTTTTTTATGTTAAAATCTAAAGATACAAATTGTAACAAATGCATAAGATGCTTACTGTGTAATAGATGGACAAGTTCTATTATTCTTATTCTGCAGAGAATTTAACTTGCTCATGGTCATCCGGCTGG